AAGCACTTAGTCAACCAGGGGAGAGTCCGCTCTCCCTCTCGAAATACTCTCACACGGCCGCGCGTATACAGCCTCTACCAGGGAAGTCCTACTCATTGCCTTCTCGTGGCGGGGGTGTTGTTTACGAAAATGAGAGGACGAAAAGCGAACGTCCGGCGCTTTAACCGGATCACAAACCAATGGTGCACATGGGCTCCAGTATCCTGCGGGAACAAATGGCGTATGAACCAATCGTTGGTCACCGGCTACCATGGGATTGCATCTCCTCACGATGTTCCACTGCCTTGTGGGTTAGACCATTAGGTCAAAGGCTCGGGGTGTGGCCCCCTAAGATAACCACCTGCTTCGGTTTGGGCACCCGGGCAGTATCACAGCCCACACACAAACAATGAACTCTATGACTACGGCAACTAATTTCCTCTCTCCGATCAACATTCAATTGATTCAAATAATTATTACTGTTATTGTCATTATTAATACCATTATTATTATTACCATTATTGTCATTATTGTTATTATTATTATTATTATTATTTTCCACATTATTCACCCTCTTTTATACTTATACACCGGCTCGTCTTTGGTGGAAATTCGACTGTATCTAAACGTTCTCGAGTCACTGTTCGGTTGAAAATTGTATGTTACCACCGAATACGAGAACTGAAGCAGTTTTTCTGAAACCACGTGCACCATTCAAACTGGCTGCCTTCAACGTTCGCACACTAATGCAGGTCGGACAACAGATAGGGCTGGCTATGTCTTTGGAAAGTCTCAATATTGATGTTTGTTGTCTATCCGAGACCCGTATTCAAGACTCTGGCGAAGTACTACAAATTCGATCTCCATCTGTCGCTTCGAAAAGCTTGTTTCACGTGCGCTTATCCGGGGACCCTGTGGCATCTTCGTCTGGTCTTGCTGGCGTTGGTGTCGCACTAAGCGCTAGAGCTGAGGCAGCACTAGTCGATTGGATCCCCATTAACAGTCGGTTATGTGCTGTTAGATTAGAAAGTTCCATCAAAGTGAGAAGAAATCGGCGTGAGAAACAATGTCTTTTCGTCATCTCCGCCTATGCCCCGACAGATTGCAGCCCGGATGCAATCAAGGATGAGTTTTACCACCAGCTGTCTGTTCTTCTCCAGAAAGTGCGCTCGACAGATATTGTAGTACTAGCCGGAGACTTGAATGCGCAGGTCGGGCGTCTAGGCACAGAAGAGAGTCGTTTAGGTGGCCGATGGGGACTCGTTGGTCGCAGGTCAGATAACGGGGACCGTCTACTGCAACTTTGCACAGACCACAACCTGTTTCTGGCTAGCACTAACTTTCGGCACAGTCATCGCCGATGTGCCACCTGGCGTTCTCCCTCTGCATCCCAAGCCTGGACTCAGATTGATCACATCGCGATCAGCTTCCGCTGGCGTGGTTGTGTAAAAGACTGCCGCTCCTTTTGGAGTACCTATCTGGACTCTGACCATGCCTTGGTCTGCGCCAATCTTGCCTTACTTTTCAGTGGACAACGAAGTGACCACCACCAAAGGATTGATATTAGCAAGCTGGTTGCAACCTCTGTTGCAAATAAGTATCGAACCGAGCTAGCTTCTAGGCTAGCTACCACTCCACCGAAAAGTATAGATGAGCATTGGTTGCAATTGCATGACGCCATGAAAATGGCGGGAACAGTCAGTTGTGGGTTTGCGAAACGTCCCGCTTATAAGCACTGGGTTTCTTCTGGTTCCTTACAACTTATTGAAGCCCGTCGGTCGACTCCGGGTGACCGTGAGTTTGACCATAAACGAAGGATGTTACGTAGGGAAATTGGGCAAAGCTTGCGTAAGGACCGAGAAGCCTGGTGGTCGGAGCGTGCTAATGAGCTGGAAGCAGCAGCTGCATCTGGTAACTACCGGAAGCTCTTCCAGCTCATCCGAGCCACTGGCAGCAAGAAGTCTGGTGTGAGTGAAACAATCTGCGAGGATGATGGGATGCCAATCACTAACATCCATCGACGTCTTGGACGATGGGCAGAATTTTTCGAAGGGCAGTTCAACTGGCCTGCTGCTCCGGCAACATCGGTCAGACTGTCCTGCCCCCCATGGCCGGTGACGACTGATCCACCGAACGAGGAGGAAGTCCGCAAGGAACTCCAACTCTTAAAGCGTTACAAATCACCTGGCCCAGATGACTTACCTCCGGCTCTTTTTAAAGATGGTGGTGACTTTTTGACTAAGGAATTGACGACGTTGTTTACAAAGGTTTGGGAATTAGAGAGTGTACCAACGTCATGGAATGAGTCGATAGTTGTCCCTATCTTTAAAAAGGGTTCACGTCGTTCCTGCAACAACTATCGGGGGATAAGTCTACTTCCGATTGCGTCCAAGCTATTGGCTTCCGTCATACTTCGTAGGTTGTTCAAAACCCGAGAAAGATTGACTCGCGAGGAGCAGGCTGGGTTTCGTTCTGGTCGAGGTTGTATTGATCATATCTTCACCCTCCGCCAAATGTTAGAACATCGCCATACTTATCAAAGGCCAACAATCGTAGTGTTTCTTGACATCAGGGCTGCCTTCGATTCGTTGGACAGGACTGTTCTCTGGGATTGTCTATTGAAGAAGGGTGTGCCTGAGAAGTTTATTAACATCCTAAAAGCCCTATATAAAAACACCTCAGGCAGAGTGAGGGCATACAACCACCTCTCTCCATTGTTCTATACGAGTAGTGGGGTTAGGCAGGGTTGCCCAATCTCACCATTCCTCTTCAACTTTGCCATCGATGACATTCTGGAAACAGCTCTGATAAATGTAAGTAATGGTGGTGTGGATCTGTTGCCTGGAGAAAGACTTCTCGACCTTGAGTATGCGGACGATATTGTCTTACTGTGCGATAATGCCCAAGGCATGCAATCCGCACTTAATCAGTTGGCAATCAGTGTCCGTAGGTATGGTATGTGCTTTGCACCTTCGAAGTGCAAAGTACTTCTACAAGACTGGCAGGATTCCAATCCTGTACTCACCCTGGATGGTGAGCAGATAGAAGTAGTCGAGAAGTTCGTGTATCTGGGTAGCTGCATAAGTGCTGGTGGGGGTGTGAGTGATGAGATCAATGCTCGTATAGTGAAAGCCAGAGCGGCTTATGCCAATCTGGGCCACCTTTGGCGCCTTCGTGATGTTAGTCTGGCTGTAAAAGGTCGGATCTACAACGCGTCGGTGAGAGCAGTTTTGCTCTATGCTTGTGAAACCTGGCCTCTCCGAGTTGAGGACGTTAGACGACTCTCTGTGTTCGATCATCGCTGTCTCCGAAGGATTGCTGACATTCAGTGGCAACACCATGTTAGTAATGCAGAGGTTCGGCATCGTGTGTTCGGGTGCAGAGACGATAATTCGATTGGTGTCACCATCTTGAAACACCGACTTCGGTGGTTTGGACATGTTCTACGAATGTCGTGCCAGAGAATTCCACGTCGTGCATTGTTTGCCGACTCTGGGACTGGTTGGAAAAAGCGGAGAGGTGGTCAGTGCATGACATGGTGTCGTGGTATGAAAGAAAGCTGCAAAGGACTGGCTTCTGTCGGTCCTTCACGACTCCCTGGTTGGGGTCTGAGAGATGGTGCTACACAGTGGCTAGAGACGTTATCAGATATGGCTCAGAATAGAAGCCAGTGGCGATCCTGCTGTAACCTTCTTTTACTTTCTTCATAAAAAGTGGTTGTGTCTCCCTTACTTGAAAGATTTCTTCCGATTGTACCTTTCCGTTCCATCGTTACGACCGCACTACCTTTCACCAATCTCTTTGTTATCGTTCTCTTTTTCTTTTGTGCTCCTTAGTTTTTTTTTCTTTTCTCTCTTCGAATTTTCATTGTTTTGTGTGGCGCATATATATTGGCGCTCTCTTGTACCAATATTTATGTGCTCAAATAAATAATAAATAAATAAATAAACAACCAGGGGATGAGTTTATAGAATAGTGATTTGGTCATAGATAGTACTGGCCTCATCGGTATGTTAGGTTTGTGTATTTTGGGTAAACTGTACAAGTAAGGTAGTTGTGATCCTTTCGGTTTGAGTTCATTGTGTGTAGAGTTATCGATTAAATTGGTCTTCAAGAGTTCTCTCAACCTTTTTAAAAGGTGCTTCTCAATCGCATATATCAGGTCTTTTGATGATAAATCTCGAGAAATCATTTAAAATGGACATTACTTTGCTAATGTATTCGTTTCTGTTTAGAATGACTACACTGGAACCCTTGTCTGGTCGAAGTAGCATTATTGTGTTGTCTTTCATAAGTTGTCTCAGTGCTTGCCGATGATCTTTAATCAACACCTTAGATTGTGGAACTGGTGTTGTAACGTACTGATTTGTAATATCCACTCAATTTGTTTTGAATCAACTTTGTTTTTAATAGGTTTTGGGTCTGACAACTTGATCTAAATACTTGAATTGCGTTTCGGTGTCGATTCTGTCATATTTTTTTCGAAATATGAAATTTAAATCCGGGGGAGAGTGTCTCTATTTCAATTCGACTTAGTTTTTTGCTAGATAAATTCTATATATACTTTTCTGGATTGATAGGAAAGACGTCATGATTTACAAGTTTTTGGTTAAACTCCATAAATTTACGGACTGGTTTTTGACTGAACGTTATAAATGAAATTCATGAGTTTGATTCGACATATAATATTTAAATTATTGACAATTTTGTCAAAAGCTTTGACAAACGTTTTGTGTTTAGAGATACGTTCCTTGGTGCATTCGATTTGGGATTTTGTGACACGCCGTAAATTTTTTGATGAAGAAGGTATTTTGCATGTACGTACAACTTTAATAAATTGATGAGGGAAGCAGCCATAATTCAAGCACTGGTCAAACAACTTTAATCTCGTTGTTTCTCTCGATATCCTGCAACAGATTATCATTAACTAGTTGGGTGACTTGAAAACATGAACGAGGAGGCGATCCTCTGAAAATTTCATTCAATTGGTTTCCGTTATGAACTTGAATAGTACCAGAACAAACATTTGTGCAGAATAATATGAATTCATTTTATTTCATGGTTTCTCATCAGCTGCTTACAACCACATGTGTGATGAAAATTAGCATTGAGGTAACATGTAACAGCCCCGAAACAGGTAGGGTCCACTTTCTCTCTCGAAGTGCTCCCACGTGACCACGCATATACAGACACTACAAGTGAAGTTCTACTCATTGATTTCTCACAACGTGGGTGTTGTTTACGAAATAGAGAGGATAAGAACGAATGTATGGCGCTTTAACCGGGTAAGTGAGTACGGAAGATCCATCTAAGGGAGTTGAAACATCTTGACTCCAAACCAACCGTGCACATGAACTCCACGATCCTGAGGGAACAAATGGTGCATGAGACCATTGTTGGTCACAGGTCACCATGGGACTCCATCTCCCAACGTCCCTCCACTGCCTTGTGGATTAAACTCTTAGGTCATAGGCCCAGCGTGTTGCTCCCTAAAGAAGTCATGTGCTTCGATTCGGACACCTTGGCAGTATCCCATCCCACACACAAATCAATGATAATTACTTGTGGTAAGATATCGTTTCTCACACTGAAATGACCGGCTTCAAAGTAGCGTGTCTTATTCCTACTAATTTACATGGTTGTTTGTAAGAACCTGTAAATATGGAGTTAATGCATCTAGAACTTTTCATGAAAGGACCGTTTGTAGCCGTTCTCAAGCAGTTATCCATTAGGCGCTGTTCGTTTCATTCGTTGACTGGATAACTTTTCGAACTTTAATGTCGTTAGTACCTTTCCTGTTGGTTATGATTGAAAATCGAGGACTTTGGGGACTCTAAACTAGAGTTAATTTCGTGTAACCTCTCATTCACTCTTGCTTAAAGTCAGTTTTGTTAATTTGGTTTCACAAAGTAAGCTTTTAATTGTCGTTTTATATTAAAGCTTCGGTTAGCACATTCGATGTGTGCTTTAAGCCTATTTTCCTTTATAAATATTCAGACCTTTTGTACTAGTTCTGCTTTGTTTCGTTTCGTTTCTATAGGTGTTTGCGTTCTTTCATAATCAAGTCAATACATGCTATCGTACAAGCGCGTAATGGGATTGTTTGTAACACCAATTGTGTATCTGAAGTTGGCGCCAGAAACAATATGGTAATTTCTTAATATTTTCTAGTTGTTGGTATTCTACTGAATGCGAATTTGTGCTGGTTTCATGTTCATCTTCACTATGATTTATGGATCTTTCTGATTGTAGATTCTATATATGATCAGGTTTGTGTATTGTAACGACTCAATCGACCTATACTGACTAGATCACTTGTTGCTTTATTTACTATCATGTTTAGGCGGTTGACTGATGTTTAGTATTGGCAAAAGACGGTGAATATGAGATACTAAACAAATATTTCGTAGTTGAGAAATAAAAAATATTCATCCGGTTACATTTACCAGGTTTCAAACAGTTATCTTTCGGGAGTATGTGTGACCAGTCTTCTAGATGGTTGTGTCAACTGGGTATCAACCCATTTTCTTTTACAGGATCTTTAAGGAGGATTATTTCTAAACGGGGCAATTAGATGGAAAATATCGATGCCATGGATACCTATTTAGGGCACCATGAACTAAGTCTCTTGTTTCATAATTTTTTCTTGTCTATTGTTAATATTTCGTCAGTAGCTATAAGTGGTTGAGAATTATTAAACTAAACTAATTAAATTGAGATTGGAAGAAAGCATCAAATCGTAACCGGTTACCTTCAGAATGATTGTAATCCGAGTTTGAAAGATGCACATAGTTCCACTTGGCTAATGTTAATTAATAATCATTCGAATTTATAAGAAGGGTGGATTGTATTTTTAATAGTATGGTTCCTGAAGTCTATCTGTTCAGGATTCTTACTGCGCATATACCTTCCGTTGTATCATATCATTTGTTGGTTTCATGTATTCATTTAACACCTAAGTTGAACTGTTGATAAATATAAGCTCTTTCACTTCTATTCAGACTGAAGAAATCTCAACAATTTTTAGTATATGATAGAGTATAAGAAACTAATGTATACTACTATCAATCATATCTTAACATCCTGTTAATTTTAACTCCAATCGTTGTTAAAAATAAGTATATTTCTTATTGTTATATGGGTATTGGTAACTTGAAAACATAATCCCTTTGATAAAAAATCAAATTTCCTTTAAGAGCCTTAGTGATATTATGACTATATATATATGTCTTGCTTCTGGTACGCCTAATCTATCTTCCTACCCGGTTCCCATAGGCCCAACTACTTCCACACATCAACTGGAACACTAGAGAGAAGGCGCGAATTGCGAGTAAATGATTTACTCCAAAGTAAGTTTATGTACAGAAAAATAAGGGTTACATACGTCCTTGGGCTCCTGGGAATTTCCAGAACCATACTAAATACAGTAGCAGTATAGGTAAATATCCAGTCAAAAACCGTGACACGCGATTTTGCATTTTCTAGATGTTTTTGCGATGCTTCTGTTCAACGCTGACTAGATAAAACTTTTCTTGGTGTTTCTGGTCCTCCAAAGACTTTGACGAGAAATATTTCTCGACTCCCCCAACAATATATTCGAAAAACTCACTCATTAAATTATAGATACTCTCAGGATTCTGTACTCTAAGTATCTAGCCACTTGTATTCTAAATTGGATTAAACCTCAATTCACAAACTTTATGATAACAGGATAACAAGATAAAGCTGTTGTATACTTCAGTAGATGCTTGTTTATTAGTTAATTTCTTGCGGCTACCTGAAACTTTGTGGCTAAATCGGAAACTGTAAGAGCATTTCACTAGTTTTCTTTATAATGTCTACACAATTCTTTCTGTATTGTTATTGAAAGCCTACATTTCAAAATTAATCTAGCTCAAATGTTAAATAAATAGAATATATTTGTAATGTATATGCATGTAGCTCTGTTTTTTCTTTAATTACTGGTATTAACTATTCTCGGTTTTGTGCTATAATATCTACCTTTTGCGCGTCCCCTGGTCAATAGTTTTCTCTTTTCTCTTATTTTTCTCCAATTTTTGTTCTTCCATAATCCATGTGTATCATCTAATTCAGATGGTGTATGTTGAAGAAGATCCAGAAATCGGTGCAACTATCAAACAAACATTAGATGCGAATTTCCCTGTACATGTACAAGATTTGCTTAGTTTAGAAATATTGGCTCATTGGCCTAAACAACCACAAATGTTAATGGTTGTAGAAGTATGGCAGTTTCGGTTAGATATTATAGAACGACTTAATACTACTACATTACAGTTTACAAATAATCCTAATTCAACCACTGGTAATACTACTACTACCAATAATAATAATAGTAATTTACCAGGAGCCGGAAATTATACAGATGGTTCGCAATCAACTGAATATGCTGTGGATGATTTTAGGCATCTACGTCTATTCGAGAAACTTGGGACATTATTGAAATCAATAATGGTAGTTACCCGCCTGTTACCTGGTAATCAGTTGTTAATTTTTAAATATTTTCTTATACTTTTATACTTCAATTACTTGTTTTCGAGGAGTAGTAATATCTTAATATTAATAGCGTTGATTCCGGATACACCTTAATGATAGCTGCAATCTTGTCAAATAAGCTGATGACCATCTGAGACGAGTAGCTTAGTGGTGTTTGAGTAGAAAGGTACTGAGTTTGAGTCTCAGTATGAATTTTAACACTAGAATGTAGGTCCATCCAGTTAACGAGTCATAAACATAATCAAACGCACAATCTAGATCTCACTCCAGGCTATGATCAAAACATATTAAACCTTTGTAACTAAGAGGCACGTATAACAACCAAAACTGGTTAATTACAGTTCTCAATACTAACACTCGGAAATCACGAATTCCTACTTCTTTTTGTAACCCAGTAACTTAAAATCAGATGTTACTTTGGCCACTCAATCATCACTACTCGCTTATCTTTTCAATTAACGTTTTTCTATGTAGTTATGCGTCTATGTATTATCAGGACTTACGTACATTGAAATCATTGACCTTACTCGAATTATAGAGAGCTATTATAAAAAAAACATTTGATCTTCAATGAACAAATCATCTGTAGGTGGGTTTTTCGTGATGGTTTAACATTGATGCAAATATAATTGAGAACCAAAGAGCATTGGAGGTAGTTGTTTCGTTTTCGCATGCAACTGTTCATCAATGTACAATGCATCCCTTCCAAGATCTATACTGTTGGTACAAATTAAACTTATTTTCACAAAAATTCTCAACAGAGAAGATTGAATGATTTATAAAATTAAATTTACCACTTCTGTTATAACCAGTAATCAATTCTAAGTGTAATCAGTCCTAAGAGTTTTCCTATCAGTATCAATATTACTACTTCAATTTTTATTACATAAAATGGTTAGAATTTATTGATTGAAACTTTGTTGTTTGATGTTACGATGTTCTCGGGAATTCATTTTTGCACATCAAATCTGTCCATTATTTTCTTGTTTGATTAGTGAATGAGCCATGGTGGTGTATTTAGAAAAAGAAAGAATAATATCATCAATAGATCAATGTTAGACCGCCAGTGAAAACCTGGAAGCACTGAACGGCCGTTTTGTCCCAGTATGGGACTTCTCAGCAGTCCGCATCCACGATCATGCACGTGGGACTCTAACCCAGGACATTCAGTCTCGCTCGCGAAAGCTTAACCTCAAAACCACTGGGCCGACATCCAACGGTGTTAATCCCGCCGTCCAGTGCTTCCAAATTTTCAATGGTGGTCTAACACTGATCCACTTTTGATATCAATCTGCACAACCCTATACTGTTATAAAAAGAAATTTGTCGCAAGTTTTTCTCGTATCCTAGATTGATGTATATTTACACTTCAGGTTATCAACTTTCTCGTCGTCAAGATCCAAATGAATATCAAATGTGTTATACACTGCGTCGTGGTCCTAGCGATCTTTCTCGACTTGGTTCAACCCCGAAATCTTATCAAGTCGGTCGTATATTTTCTGGATTAGCAATACCACAATCACCTAAAGAAGAACAAATGTTCTCTACTGCTCCCTCATCATCTTCTAGTTCAACACCGATCGATCAAAAATTAACAAAACTTGAATCAGATCCCGGTCTAATTATTGCTGATGGTTTATTACCAGTTTATTTAGGTACAACTGTTCATTATCGTACAGAAATTCATTTTAGTTCAAATAATAAATTAATACCTATGATTGATGGTCTTACTAAAGGAAATTTGTCTCCTAAAAACGGAATGCATGAGGTAAATCAGTTTAATTGAATTATTTTTATATGTACCTTTAAGAATTATACCATTCTATGTACATTAACGATACAAACTGAAGTTATTCATAGATTTTTGTTGTTCTGGCAGAATTTAACGTACATCATTCTCATTTGGTTCATTGAGTTATTTGGTTATAATCTTGTGCATTATGCCATTCTATTCTTAATCTCTTATCCTCCGTCAGTGAATAGTGTAGTCTATAGATTATATTAATATTTGTATTTTGTAGTTGTACTATTTATACCTTGGTTTATTCAACTGTTTTTCTTATTCACTTCTTATTCTCTTAAAATACTTTCAAAAGAAATAGGCAGTTGCATGGAATTCAGGATTATTGATTCTGTATTTTCGAAGAAATATATCAGTCTCCACTCTCTGGTAATAATAATAATAGTGGGGTAGTAGCACTAGTGATACTCATATATCTAGTACATGTTTATGTATTTCACTGTAAGTCACACCTCTTTGTATTATGACTAATGATACTACTCAGCTGGCTGCTGTTGACCTCTTTCTAACAATCTTTCGCGTGTTAGACAAGAGTTTTATAAAGTATGCTTAAGTCTGTATAACTTGATAATTATTAGGGTACAAAATTGATATTCACGTGTTGATATCATATGGAGAAAATATTTTGTCGATTGTACCATTGATACTGAAGATAACTGCTATCTTATTATGGGGAGTTGTAAAATTTAGTGATTTTTTGTTATGTAAACTATCTGTTTGGGATTCACATGATTATTGCAACTAGTGATTAGAGGCTCAAAATCATTTCCAATGGCACAGGTGCATCCATTCGTTGTCTTCCCACAAATTCTCAGCTTCAGAATTCCTCATAACTTTCTTGTTTTTACTTCATTAATTTATATTTTGTTGGATCCTATCTTCGATCCCTAATCTTTTATATTACCCCTCGTACTGTTACTACCTCGATTATTCTCAGCCTTGACCTGACATTCTTATCTCTATTAATGTGGTATAGGAATTCGAACCAATGTGCATATGTACCAGGTTCTACGTTGAGACTAAATGATAGATTTATTGCTATATTTATAAACCATTACAAGGTGAATCTGCGACTTAATGATTAGGGTATCAAGATTCTAGCTAGGTTCGAGTCTCACTTATATACTGAATATTCTCACTAGCCTCTTCCTGACAGCTGTTTCGGATCCCTTTCAATTCAAGACACTGAACTATTGTGACACTAAACTTCCTAGGTAATTTCTAATCTTTTACCAAGTATGTACCACAAATTTGAATCAATCACTTGTACTAATCATGTGTTCCAGTTTAAATAATCAGCCGACATTGGCAACTTAAAATATTACTTATAATTAGACTTAAAAATTTAGTATCTAATTAATTACACATCAGTCGTACACATCGTTTAGCAATTATACTAATTAATCACCAATTTTGATTGTAATTATTGATAAATATGCTGTTGTAATGATAGACAGGTAGATAGACGAAGGAATTAGCATAAATATTTTGATTTGTTATAAACAAAGTGATTGAACTTTTCTTCCGTTTAACCTGATACTTTCTCATCAGATTGAAATTGGCACATATATATGTATGTAGTTGTAACAGTAGTAATTTAGCTGGTTGACTTACATTTATGAGTTGTATGTGGTTGATGAGATTATTTATAACTAAGTTACATTCTTTTAATATTGACCACAATATACTTTTGAAATACGTTACTAGGTTGCATTGGTAGTGTCTCAAATTGTTAAGCCGATCGATGCGGGCTAGAATCATACATGGAGCATCAGTTTTCACAAAATCGCAAGCATACCTTCCGGATAAGTACCAACTAGTACGGAACCTAAATCAAGCAGGATTTTCAGATAACTAACTTTTATATCATATTGAATCACTTAGATTAATGGCTACATAGTAAATTGGTTGATAGGATTCAATCAGCATCAAAGGTCTAAATAAACATGACATTGAACACTATTCAGTAATTAGTGCACTGAATATGTATGTTGTCTGCTGATTGTTACTTGTTTAAATTATTGTATTTCATAGTGCCAATTTAACAATCTCTGAATTTCTTTATCATTTCACACTTTCTTTTTTTAAATATCTAGATATTCGATACAAATGGTCATCATAGTGTAAACTTCCATGCGCTACGTAATCATAAAAAATCACAGAAACATGTTCGTGTCTCAGAGACACCTTTTGTTAAACCTCTTACTAGCACACCGACTGTTGATATGATTCGATTTGAACAGTCTAAATTGCCATGGTAAGCGTTTTGTAACGGGTTTTTTAATATTCTTACCAACTACAGGTTTATGTGTTAAGTAATAATTTAGTGGTTAGTGTGTCCGACTTGCAATCACTAGACCTCAGGTTTAAGTCCCTCTGGGTATTATCACTAACCCCTCACACATAAAGTTCGACTCAAACTCAAGTATACGAATCTACTTTTGGTGAGTTACTTCATCACAAGTTCTTGGCTTTGATCCATAATATTTGTACTATAACAGGAGGAATACCGGCCAAAATAATACAAGTAAGACAGAATTCCAACCTGAATGTTTGGTTCTGAGCCGAGTACATTAGTCACTGAACCTCACTAACCTACTGTGATCTTATTGTTTTTATACTTACTTACCTGTGTATTTGATCGAATTCTTTTTTTTTTCATACTTTCGTTATAGTAGGGTAAAGCCAGCTTTTGCAGTTGAACAATACGAATCGGAATCGGATGAATTATTTGATCCAGCCAGTCAATTATTGAGTAAAAAATCAGCTGAACGAGTAAATTAATTTATTCTTATACATTATTTGTATGTTGGTACATATGTTGTATAATGTATATAGCCTAGTATAGTTCATAACTTCTTACAGACACGGTACAATTAGTTTCGTGAGTTAGGAATGTAGGATTTACATGTCCTACCTTTATCAAATAAGATACTTGCTTGTATATCCTGTATCTACAAGTGATCCGGTTGTTTGTATTGATAATCTTTGCCATCTTCGTTTCTCTATTCATCCTCACTCTCAGTTGGATTCAATTTTTACAAATATGATAAAGTCAGTGTTCTAGACAAATACAAGAAAGCAGTATCTATCTAATTATATGTTTTCAGCTCATTATTGAGGGTATACTTTGGAATTAAGTCACTTATGCTCCAATAAAGTTAAGATATAATTATCAGGCATTGGTTTTTGTATCATAGATTATTTTACAATGTTTTCTTGTGATGCTAATCGATATCACGTGCCAAAGTCAGTTGTCTACAACGTAGGACCAGGCACACATATGCATCGGTCCAAGTTTTCATACCTCATTATCACAACAAGATGAACACCAAAGTCATAGAAATAGTCACTTCAGTGGTGGTAATATAAAAATGAATGATTACATATGAGGATATATATGTACAAGGAGAAAGAATTAGTTTGTAGAAAAAAAGGTATGAAGTGGTTTTAATCTCACGGTTTAAGGGAAGGGAAGGAGTGTATACATCTACACCATTGTGATCGATTGTGAACCATGTCACCTTGAGTCTCCAATCAGTGGTTACGATAGTCGTGTGGATCCCAAGTCAGTAATCTGCATCTACCAAGATGGCTCACGCCAAAGTTAGTGACTTTGTGGCGTGATGCCACGTTTTGGTTTGGTCACTCCTAACTTTCTTCCACTCGTCCCTAACACTAGTCAGCACTGCGTACCTTGGTAGTTGATGGTTGAGCATGTGTAATACGTGGTTCAACCATCTCAGTGGATGAATATTTACAACGTCATCATCGTCATTTTCCACTACCATGCGTCTAACCTCACTATTATTTATTTGTTGATCCCAGCAGATGCTGGAAATATTTCTAATACATCTTTAATCAACTACTGGTAACTTCCGAGTATCCTCTACCCTTAATGACCACATTTCGCAGTCATAAATTTGAACATAACGAACTGCTGCACAGTATATTCGTCCCTTAGTTGATTGACAGGTATCTCACCTTCTCCATAGGTGACGTATGTTAGCAAAAGACAAATGAGCTTTTTGAATCCGTGCAGAGATTTCATTAGACACCCACCCATTACAGTTGATCAGACTTCCAAGATAAGTGTTGTCAACGCGCCCAACTACTTCACTCCCTATCCTTAGTTTGGGTGTTGACTTAGGCCAGTGATGAAGCAACAATTTTCATTTAGAGGGTGAGAAACGCGTCCCAAACATCCTGGCATTGTTGCTCATGCTATCAAAAGATTGCATTTTATTGGCGTCTTCACCAATCAGGACTATGTCATCTGTGTATTCTAAATCAATAAGTGAGCCTCCTGGTAGGAGATCGATTGCTGAAAATTCAGTCGACGAGAACGTTATTTCCAGCAGTAGATCTATGATGAAATTATACAAAAATAGAGATAGTGGATAGCCTTGTCGAACACTGTTTGAGGTTGCAAAAACAGATTATAGTTCTCCATAAGCTCTGACTCAACTGATAGTGTTCGAGTAAAGAGCTCTAATTAGGTTTATGTACTGTTCGCTGAACCGAAATACTAAAAGACTTACTTAGATGTTTGCTGTTTGTTTCAAGCTACCTACTTGGGTATTAAAGTCATCTGCTACGATTACTATGTCTAAGTGTCTAGCTTTTTGAAGAAGTTCAGAAGGCTTTCTGTAAAAGTCTTCTTTCACTTCACCTCTGTACAGTCAGCAGTTCGAATTTGCCGTCAGACCTTGGGTTTGTTGCTTTTAGTTTTACCGTTCTTCGATCGACCTGTCTGGCATAGTAGGGCCTTGCGGAACGATTGTTCTAGCCGGTATAGTCCTATTGGTTCATCGTGATAGGTAAGCCTGACTACCGCGTCAAGCTAGGAGGAACGGTCGATTGCTGAATTCACCAATCAGAATTTTGATTGTAATTTTTTCTATCCCGTGTCTATGATTTTTCCTGTGGCCTAGTATTGTAGACATGACCATTTATACGTCTGACCTGCACCGCGAAACTGAAGCCGACTCAAACTAAGCTGTTATTGATCCGCTTTTCTCGAGCTCTTCTCTCTGTCCCTTGCTTGAGTCCAGATAGAATTTAGCAGCTATATATCTAGTGCATGTGGGTTTATAGGCAAACATACTGGATCAAGTCACTCCATATATTGAAACATCACACTTATACATAAACAAGCCAAAATTTGTTGTGAGTAGGGCAAGCTGGGAGAGTAAATCATAAATGACAAGCAGTTTAATAATGGTTAATGTGTTGAACGAAAGCACGCGATAAACAAAATGTAATAATCCAGACACTTAGTAATTACATAATAGGGATATATATACATAACAGTAATCCATAAAGTAGTTTCGAGAATTGGCATCTCTTCAGTCTTCGTTCGGATACAGCATATAAAATGAATAACGCCAATTTGTAGTAGATCACTGATTGTTTACTTCATTGCTTAAACCTTTCTTCATTTTGTTTATTATTAGTGTCTTAGTAATTCATGTTTTTCTTTTAGGTTGCTCGAAGATTCAAACATACAGGAATACTGGAAACACAAGAAGAACAGGCTGATTCATCACGCGATGATGATGATGACGATGAGGAGGAGGCGGATGATCATTGTGATGTTGATGGCGGTAGAGAGTCAGATTCAGTTGATTCTAATGTTGATAATGAATCTTCTCATACAATTGACAGAGAAGTACTTCATGTTAACCAAGACATAGGAATCAGTGAACAACATAATACTCCTATAATTGACGATATTGACATACAAGAATTAATAAAAAATCTTAGATCTCAATATACTAGTGCACCAATTGATAAAGAATCAGTTAGTGATGATGAGGATGATGATTTAATTAGTAAACAAGTACCACTTCAATTACCGTTTAGTACATTCGGTGTTAGTGGTGCACGATTGACACATTTATTTTCTGAACTTCGTGAAAGAGCTAACCTGGACCTATTCCAAGTACCACATATCCATCATACTACTACTAATACAGTTGTCAGTAACAATAATTCAACTACGATTTCTCCTAATGCTGTGAATATTAATAACAACACAGCTCAGTCATCTTTATTCGATGCTGACGCTTTAGTTGATGAATTAGAACGACATGAAAGAATGTTAAAAGAATTTGATGATTTTCTGTCAGATTTTCAAAGTATTGAACCATTCGGTATTGTTCGTCCAACTGTTACAGTACCATCTGATCTGGTTAGACAACAACATCAAAATGTTATTGTTGTCGGCACTGTCATCGATGATAATAATGATAATACCGCTCCAATTACAAGCATAACTACTGCTACTACTACTACTAATAATAATACTACTACTGTCTCTGCTGCTACAACTCTACTGACTACACGAACTCCTTATTCTGTCAATGAAATGTAATTAAAAACATTTTCTATTTAGAACAAATTATCAAAGGAAATATTGCTAAATAATCATACCATTTGTTTTCTGGCACAATATCAGAATCCAATATTTGTCTTTTTCTTTAGAATTAATCATACTGTTTTGTAAATTTTAATTTCGACCGTATACATTGTGTGTGTGTGTGTTTGTTGCATTTCTTACCATTGTTTTTTTCTCTCTCTCCCTCTCCCTCTCTCAATTGCGCCCTTTTTAACTTCATTGCTTTTCTGATTATTATCATGTAATTTATTTAATTGGTAATTATATTATCATGTTTTGTTTTCTAATCGTTATGTCAATAATAGGCTGATAGGTGGGTAGTTAGGTATATAAGTGTGATGATATTTGCAAGTGTTTAATCATTCAGTAGTAATCAGTATCGTATTTGTCCCTAATTGTTTGTTTTTAATGCTAATCTAATCCTAATAAGTAATAGTTTAGTCATTTTTATCAATGATACCTATTTTATTCTGTGCATAAAGTTCAATTATATCATGGAGTCCCTTGTTTCTAACTATTTTCCAGTTAAAATCAAGTTGTTATGTGAACTATTTTCAAATTGATTAGTTTCTACAAATCTTTCATCTGAAGTGTTTTGAAACTTATTGATCTCTGCACCTGATCTTAGTCTAGGTAGATACACACAGTTTCTACCTACCTGGTTAATCTATACCAACGTAACTTATTTATTTGAACACATAAATTTTAGTACAAAGGGGAACCGAACGCATTTGTGCCACACAAGTCACTTGATTTGTGTGTAGGCTGTGATACTGCCCGAGTGCCCAGATTGAATCAGATGGTTTTCTTAGGGGGCCACACTCGGAGCCTTCGACCTAAAGGTCTGATCCACATGGCAGTAGAGCATTGTTAGGAGATGCAGTGCCTTGGTAGCCGGTGATCAACAATAGGTTCGTACGCCGTTTGTTCCTTTAGGATATTTTAGCTCATGTGTATCATTGGTTTGGAATTAGGGTTTTCCAACTCCCACCTGTGGATCTTTCATGTCCACTGACCCGGTTAGATAACCAGACATTCGATTTCTGTCTTCTCCATTTCGTAAACAAAACCTGTGTGGCGAGAATGTAGTGAGTACGAATTCCCTGGCGATGGCTATATTCGCGTCGTCATTTGGAGAAGGAGGGCTGAATCTTCCCACCCTTGGTCGTACCGGAGCATTTGGGGGTAACTTCACAAGGTAGTTACTTTAAGTGAATAAAACAATGTGATAATATCAGCCTCCGAAAAATTACCTGTTTTATATGTATGTGCGTTAATCAACCTAAACAAATGCGATACTATCAAGAATTAGAAATCAACAACTTACCGTTTGCCTATTTGTTAGAAATTTCTCTCTTGATTTTGGTATTTTTTGTTACTTCATCTGAATAATGGATCAACATATTCTGGCATTGAACCAGCCAGTGCAAATCACCTTTACAATTGTAATTTTAGGTAGCTAAATACTGAAAAAATGTTACGTTTTTACTAAATAGAATTTTTTCATAGTTACTGCCCATTCATTATCTTTGGATATAAATATGACTTATTGACGAATAAAGTACCGGGAAAAAGGGGTAACAGCCTCATTGGTTGTCAATTATTGTATTATCAGTACAATCCGTCTTTACTATCATGCTATTCCACTTGGTTATATCAAATATTTTATCAGGTTGTAAGCTGTTTCAATTAGTTAGACAATCTGAGGATTTTAAGACATTAAGCATTCATTTGTGTTAGAGTAAACTTTTATGGGTTATATTCGAAACTTTTGTTGAGGTTTTTGTGGTACTTTATGAATGACAATAAGCATAAATAATCACTTTGAGATGATAGAGAAGATATGGAGCTCAGATGGTTGATTTTGAGGCAGTTACATTCTCTGAACTGGATGAATTTAAATAGCTTACTTTTGTCAAGCGTTTAAGCTACAGATGATATTTAGAGAGACAGTGAGAGTTCTATGATTAAACCACCCATCTCAACGAAAGCAACTGCATGAAGGTGTAAAGTCGATTCCTGCTGGTTGCATGCATAGGTTTGGGGCTTTCTAGCTACCTACATTTTTGATGGAACATTCAGAACACTATTTAACAGGAATAATATTCATATTTGATTTTGTAACATCCGACAAGTGAATTGTTTGTTACCGTTTTTGACTTTTATCAATGTGAATAATTAAGTAATAAATCCTTAATCATGTATGAACAAAAATCGAGTTAGGAGATCTATACTAAGAACCATACAGGACAATTTGAAGGAAATTTTTAATGTTCCATCAAAAATGCAGGTAGCTAGAAAGCTCTAAACCTGTGCAAGCAACCAGCAGGAATCGACTTTACGCCTTTGTAAAAGAATATAAATTATTAATTCATTGATATGAAGAGCTAATCAGAAGCAACCTAATGGTTTGGTCAGTCGATGGCGATCAGAAGTAACCTAAAGAGCAAGTGCATTTCATTGTCTAAGAAATGAACTATATATATATATACATAATGTTTATTGTAATGACTCTACAAACAATGAATAACTTTGGGTAAATTTGTTGATCATCAACATTAATGATCTCTGTCTAGTGATTGAGGGCCTACTCCAGTTATATGGAAATGATGTGATTAACAGCTAACTTAGATTACCCCTTCGTCGTATCAAGGTACTATGCATGCTTTGAAAACTATACAACACAAAGGTCATTATTACAGTAATATATTATATAAAGTAGGTACAAGCAATAATGTGACCACTACCGTATGAGCTAGTTCATGGCGTGCGATTAACTGATGCACGTTGGTTGTCTTCGACAGGGATCAATGATCTGTCCGATATTCAGTAACCCAATCGTCGAATGATTTGGTTATGGCTCAATGACATTTCATTGGCTTTACAAAGTCTTTAAGCATTAATTGAAATCTCTTCCTTATATTGTTCCATTACTGTTTAGGAAACTTTTCAGTATTTTGACTTCAGAAAATAAGAAAACAATAAAAAAGAAAGAAAAAAAACAACTATCATAAAATTGATGATTTACAAGTGTTTAATCATCTCTGTGCTTTTTTATGTTTGTTTCTTTTAATTATGATTCTATTATTATTTATAATTTATAGGATTACAGTTTATGACTATTATTATTGTTACTATATGTAATGAGGTGGTAATTATGAAATGGATGTGTTACAGATTAGAGGATGAACCCAGTATATTTCATAATTAGTTTATAAGTCTCATATGTAATAATGTAAATATGATTTAAATAGTGTTAATCACTTTCTATTGGACATAGTTACTAATTTGTTACTGGAACTGTAACCCCCAACCTTAATTCAATGAATAAAATTACTTTTGATTTTGTAACATGGTGAAAGTTGTTTCTTCAAAAAATAAACAATATTTTCTTTAAATTCATAAAGATTTGAATGGTATATAAAGAATGGATTCATGTAAATGTTAATTACAAACAAACAAATAATTGTAGTTGTGTTAAATATTATGTCATTCAAGTTGTTTGTTTCTATGTAAGATATGTATTTGTTTTTGAAAAAAGATGTATGTATGAATGTAAATAGGGGTGTGAATAATGTAGTTTTTATAATTCGAATGAATCATTTAATTTTTGTATTTATGGTTTAGTCTTCAATACAATACGTTTCCCCCAAATGCCGTAGTACGACCGAGAGTGGGGAGAGTCCGTTCTCCCTCTCGAAATGCTCTCACATGATCACGCATGTATAGCCTCTGCCAGGGAAGTCCTACTCACTGCATTCTCGTGGTGGGGGTGTTGTTTACGAAAAGGAGAGGACAAAAAGCGAATATCTGGTGCTTTAACCGGTTTCCAAACCAATGGTGCACATGGGCTCCAGTATCCTGAGGGAACAAATGGCGTATGAACCAATCGTTGGTCACCGGCTTCCATGGGAGTGCATCTCCTTACGATGCTCCACTGCCTTGTGGGTTAGACCTTTAGGTCGAAGGCTCGGGGTGTGGCCCCCTAAGATAACCACCTGTTTCTGTTTTGGCACCCTAGCAGTATCACAGCCCGTATTTGGTGCCTTCTTATACCAATATCTAAGTGTTAAGATAAAATAAAATAAATCAATACGTTGTTGTTAATTATATATAGAATAGATGGAATATGGCTAGCAGTGGAATATAGGACTCTTGTTTTGTTATATTTAGTACTTGTCAGCTAGATATATCTACATCCCATAGTTGGTCATTATTCTAGGATTCAAATCTAGTGTTCATTATTGAAAACCAAAAAGTACTGAATAATTACTTCATAGTGGTATGACACACCCTATCACTGTATTTTCATGATATCAGCGGAGGTTGGACACACAACTTTCAAATCTCATGGAAAGTTCTTAATCTTGAAATTACTGAGTTGTCATCTAATGGTTTTAATGTGTAACTTCAGTTGATCTATGATATTATACAATCTTCTTACATTATCATTGGTCATTCAGGGTAAAGAAATTTCTTATTATTACTATTAGATAATTAAAATTATTCATACTGACCAGTTTCGTATTGAACAAGAACACTAATGGAGACAATTAGATGTACCTAACACGAAATTACAGGACTTGTTGATAAAATCTAATAATCATAAAGTAAATGCTTAATTTGCAAAATATCCACCAATTGTCTCAAAATGACCCAGACTTCAGCTAACATGGTAAATTTAAGTGAGGAAAACGTTGACAGATATCAGAAGACTGATTTTTAACTAATTTAGGTATTAATTGTCATCAGTAACAAAAGTAGTTTGACTAGGGTTAATACAACAGCAGAAATTATATAGTTTGACTAAAGGATATCAATATATCTTTAAGTTTCAAACACATAAAATATAGACTGACCAAGTTTATAGGCTAAAAACTGAAGACTTATTTTACTGTTTAATGCACGCTCAAATGATCAAGCTCAATTAGTGATTTCACTGAAAGAGATTCATATCGAAAGATCAAATGTCAACCATACATTTGATTTCAAAATGAATTACTTTTAACAGTTCTACTGATTTGCTAGTATTTATAACCTAAGTAAGGTACAACATTGGACTTTATTCAAACTAATCAAATTTTAAAAAAACTTGAAGATAATATCACTGCATGTGTGATGCGTGCTACTTATATTGATATAAGTAGAATATGACGCGAGACAGGAATGTAATGTCTGGCAGCATAAGATGGGGAAGATCAAGAAAGGAAGAGCGGGAATAGAAAGCAATTGGTATGGAAATGCAAGAACAACGAAGTTCAAGACAATTATTGAACATTTTGCAA